TGTGTCTCGCAACCCATTTACCACTCTGCCATTCAGCTTCACAGTTTGCCGATGTTGCTGGCGATTATCCTGGTGAGCTGCTTGCACTGGGTCTGCCTCGTGTAGGATGCCCCAGAATTCCTCCTGCTCTATGCAGTGAGCAGCAGGCTGAGGTGGGCGCTGGTTCCCATTGACTGGTCTCCTCCAGGACTGAGCTTGGTTGGCACTGTTCAGTGGGCACTCAGGACGCTTGTGCCCCAACTGCTTGCACCCAAAGCACAGGATGGGTTGGGAATATTCACGGGCATTAAATCGTGCAGGCTGTACAAAATTGTTAGCTGGCGGTGCGGCTGGGTTACGGTGTACTGGGGGTTGGTAGGCTGAAGGAGCGGGTATTACTGCTGGTCGATACTCCAGTCTGGCAGGGGCTTTGGCAGCTGTACCATCCAACTTGCGGGCATCCGTGTATTCGTCTGCCAGACGAGCAGCCTCGGGTAGGGTAGAGGGTTTTCTATCTCTGACCCACTCCCGGACCCCAGCAGGTAGTCTATCAAAGCAGTGTTCCAGCAGGAACACTTGTAACACCTCCTCCCCAGTTACCGCTTGGCATCCAGCCATCCAGTGGGCTGCGGTACGATGAACTCTGCAGGCCCACTCCACATAAGAGTCCCCAACCAGCTTGTTGGTTTCTCTAAACCTCCGCCTGTACGCCTCTGGGGTCACCGCATACCTGGCTAGGAGCGCATCTTTCACAGCCCGGTAGCTGGTGATCTCCTCCTCAGGGATGGCCCGAAACGCCTCACTAGCCCGGCCAGATAATTTCCCAGAGAGGATGGTGACCCATTCATCTGCAGGTACCTGATGTAGAGCACACTGCCTCTCGAAGTCCGCTAGGAACCCATCAATCTCTCCCTCAGTCTCCACAAAATTTTTAAATGCAGCAAAAGGTACCTTCTTTCTAGCAAACACATTATTATTGTAAGGTACCTCTGCTGCTGCAGCTCCTCTTTCCCGGAGCGCCTGTTGTGCTGCCACTGCTGCCTGCACACGCTCCACGATGTCAGCTGAGGGGTTGGGGCCAAAATGTGCCAGCCTTATTTGCACTGCCCGGTTAAATTGTATTTCCTCGGGTGTTAAATCCAAAGTACTGGGCACGTTGACTCTCTCCATTCCCGTTGCTGCATCCATCTCCAGTAGCAAAGCAATAATCTCCCGTTTCTTTAAATTGCTTGCTGACCTTCCTCGGCATTCCAATATGTCCTTAAGTGTAGCACGCCTTAATTCCTCATACTGCATGTCTTGTAGCTGACCTCCAATGCTGTAGGATTCATCCCGTCGCTTGCCACCAATTGTTAAGACACCTCTAGTGTCTTTAAGCCAAACCGCCGTTTAGTAGACCTTCCCTGGCTGCAGTACAGTCTCCGTTCGCTTACTCTGTAACATACGAACCAAATGCAGGGGAAGCGGCAATCTCCCGATCGAGATCCGTGAACGGCTCCAAACTCACGAACTGCTGGTAACTGTCGAACAGCAATATTCACCAAGCGGCTTTCGTTCCATCCAGCAGTCTCTAAACGTGAAGAAGAAATCCCCCCAATAACGAGACAGAAGCTCCGTATTGAGGGTCAAACTGAATCTGGCTTTACTGTGGGCTACCTGCCCGTATTTATGCAGGTCCCCCACTTGGTGGACACTCCCCTAGGGGACCAAATGGGAGACTTAAATTACAGACAGATCTGGGGACATCCCAGACACACAGTCACAGATTTTACCCACAGTGCATTATGATTCCCTCCCCTCTGCCCTGGAGTTAATTACCAAGTAACTCAATTAACTCCAGGACAAAGCCAGTCGCCATCTTAGACATAAAATAATAAAAGACATAAAAATATATAACTACATAAAAACTGAACATTTCCCATTCGTATTACATGTCCCCAGATAGCCTGGATCTGAGTGCATATTATTAGCGAATAGCGCTCAGATCCCACACACATAGTTCAATCGCCATGGAGTCAAAGTTCTTACAGTCTTTCGGTATACGAATGACTCCATGGGAAGGCTATCTGGGTTAAGTCTTTTCGTATGCTCTCAATCTCCCGAACGGCCGGTGTTCGCATGCTTTCGTGGAGGCAGCCAGGCGTTCCGTTGTTTCAGCGGTGTTCGGCAGAAAAAGTGTCCGTTTTCAGTTCCATAGAAATAGAGCCAAACACCGCTGGGCGTTCGCTTGATTTAAAATGGCCGCTGCCTCGTGGTCGACATACGAACGACGACCACCCTGAATTCGGTTTAATTGAGAAGTGTCTGCGGTTAACCACAACGTTCTAATTGGGATCACTTCGTTAACCAGCAGCACACTCCTCACTTGGGTGGCCGTTCGTTCGGCAGGTTTGTTCGGGAAAAAGAGTCATTCGAATGGCTGGGCTATAGAAACCAGCCATTCATACGAACGGGGGACAAACAGACGAACGTAGTAAAAATCCAAGCAGACAGATGGTTCTGTCACACGGCTCCCTCCTTGTGGGACACTCCGGCAGACCCGGCTTGACCCTGTGGCGGGTCAACTTGGGGATGACCGGACTACGAGGTGAGGGAAGCGTCTGTTTGTCGTGACAACCCATCTGCATTCCCGTTCAGCTTACCGGGTCTGTAGCTGATGGTAAAATTGTAGGGCTGTAGGGCCAAGCTCCATCTCAGCAGTCTCCCATTGTCTCCTGAGACCCGGTTAAGCCAAACGAGTGGGTTGTGATCAGTCACAAGTGAAAATTCTTGTCCATACAAATAGGGGCTTAACTTTTTCAATGCCCAGACCAAGGCCAAACACTCCTTCTCCACTGCCGCATAACTCACTTCTCTGGGTAACAACTTTCTGCTGAGATATGCGACAGGGTGCTCTCCTCCATCTTCCCCGACTTGGCTCAGCACAGCCCCCAGTCCATACATGGAAGCATCTGTATGGACGAGAAAGCGTTTGTTAGGGACTGGGGCTGCCAAGACAGGGGCATTCACAAGAGCCTGCTTCAGTGCCTGGAACGCAGCTTCACAAGCCGGAGACCACAGGACCTGCTTAGGCAAGTTTTTCTTGGTCAGGTCTGTCAGGGGCTTAGCAATAGCGCTGTAGTCAGGGACAAAATGTCTATAGTACCCTGCCGTCCCCAAGAAGGCCAATACCTGGGTCTTAGTAGTAGGTGTGGGCCAGTTAGCCACTGCCTCTACCTTGGCTGGCTCTGGTCTCTGGCTCCCACACCCCACTCTGTGACCCAGGTACTGTACTTCAGCCATACCTAGATGGCACTTTTCTGGCTTCAATGTCAGGCCAGCGGCCCAAATTTTATCCAGCACTACCCCTACATGTACCAGGTGTTCCTCCCAGGACCCACTGTAAATCGCAATGTCGTCCAAGTATGCACAGGCAAATTCTTGGAAGCCATCTAGGAGTCTATCCACCATCCGTTGGAAGGTAGCCGGTGCATTTTTCATCCCAAAAGGCATGACCTTAAATTGGTACAGGCCAAATGGGGTGACAAATGCCGACTTGGGGATAGCATCCTCGGCCAGGGGGATCTGCCAGTAGCCCTTACACAGGTCTATGGTGGTCAGATATCGCCCCCTGGCAATGCGATCCAGAAATTCGTCTACCCGGGGCATTGGTTGGGCATCAGTGGTGGTCCGCTCGTTGAGTCGCCTGTAGTCCACACAGAACCGGGTGGTCCCATCTTTCTTGGGCACCAGGACTACAGGCGAGGCCCAAGGGCTGTCGGAGTGCTCGATGACTCCAAGCTGGGTCATCTCCTGTATCTCCTTCCGCATTCCTTCACGGACTGCTTCAGGGATACGATAAGGGGGCTGTCGTAACGGGGTCTGTCCAGGGGTCTCTACCTTATGCACAGCTAGGGTGGTATAACCTGGTTCCTGGGAGAACGTCGCCTGCTTCTCCCATAACAACTGCTGCGCCTGTACCCTTTCCCTTTCCGGTCCCCTAGCTGTACCAAGGTAGTAAGGTCAGTCTGGGAATCCCTTTCTAATAGATCGGGAAGGGGTAAATTCTCAGAATCATCTGCAGCTGGGGCACATACTGCTGCAATATTCTCAGGTCTCTCCTGGTACTCTTTCAGCATGTTCACATGAAAGGATCGCTGGATCCTCTCATCTGCACAGCTGGCTATCAAGTAAGTAGTGTCGCAGATCTGCGCCACTACCTTGTATGGGCCCTGCCAAGATGCTTGCATCTTGTTGGCCTTCACAGGTTTGAGCACCAATACCTTTTGCCCAACCTGGAAGACCTGCTGTCGGGCACCCTGATCGTACCATCTCTTCTGTCTCCCCTGGGCCGCCTGGAGATTCTCCCTTACCATCAGGGACAGTTTCTCCATGCGGTCCCGGAGTTCCAGAACATATGGCACAATGGGGGTCCCCTCTTGCTCCGTCTCCCCCTCCCAGTGGCCTCTAATGAGATCTAGGGGTCCGCGGACCCTTCTCCCATACAGCAGCTCAAAGGGGGAGAACCCAGTAGATTCCTGGGTCACCTCTCTATAAGAAAATAATAGATGAGGCAGGAATCTCTCCCAGTCTCTGCAAGTGTCTGTAAAGGTCCTCAGCATCTGTTTGAGGGTACCGTTAAAGCGCTCGCAGAGACCGTTAGTCTGTGGGTTGTAGGGTGAGCTAAGTAACGGCTTAATGCCACACACCTTCCACAGCTGCTGGGTGAGCACAGCGGTGAATTGGGTTCCCTGGTCGTAGAGAATCTCCTTAGGAAACCCGACCCTAGTAAAAATTCTAACCAAGGCATCAGCAACCGTCTCTGCCTCTATATTAGACAGCGCTACTGCCTCTGGATAGCGAGTGGCATAGTCCACCACGGTAAGAACGTATTTCTTACCTG